GCGCTCCCTGAGGCCGCTGAGCCCGCTCGGCCCCGGCCGCGGTCGGCTGCGCCGCTCGGCTGCGACTCGCGAGCCCGGGGTGGAAGCCCAAGCCGAGGCGCCTGCGCTCGACGGGGGTTCGGGTCCGGCGCGGGGGTGGGGGTGGGGCACGCAGGCGTGGCTCGGTGTTCGCGCGTCTAGACCGCAGGTCTGGAGGGCTTTGCCCCCATAACCGTCAGTCACATCTGGGAAATAAGTTTAAGATGAAAGAAGCAAACTCCGTGATGCAAGCACAGCATTCAGAAGTGTCCCTCCCTGTGATGGTGGGCAGGCCTCCCTTTTCTTGCTAAGCTCTGGGGCACAGGGACAGCGTGGTCCGAACCCTTTGGGCTCTCCGGTTCAAAACTTGCGCTTTGAGGTGGGGGCAGAGAACACAGAAGGAAAGGCAGCAGATCTAGCCCCTGCTGCTTTGGTCAGCACAGGTAGTGGCAGCTGAAAGCTGTACCCGTTTTACAGAGAGTAAGGGAGAGTCTGAAAAGGAGTCTGCCCTAGCATCCAGGTGGGAAATGTGTGGTTTAGCAGGTTAAGGCTGTGGGTCCCCAGACCTTGCTCCCCACAGACTGCAAGCTGTCCGAGGAGTGGCGGCCCAGGGCTCACCCAGGCTTCTGGCATTTGTGAGGGCCGAGGACTTCCTCGTGTTTCCATTTGTTCAGCAGAGACGTAGGACAGGACCGAGTGTGGCTTCTTTATTACTGCAGCAACTTGCCAGAACGGTGGTTTCTATGAGGTCCCCCGGGCCTGACAGCGCATTTGCAGCCCGCCACGGGCTGACCAGTCAGCACATGCCGATGACCGTTTGCTCCTCGGCAATGTGGCATACCTCCTGCGGCCTGGACCACCTGCCCTCCCTCTTCCTTCAGGGCCACTGGGCCCTCTCTTCTCCTGGCTCGGAAAGTGGAGGCAGAGCTGGGCCTCAGACTGAACGCTGCCTCCCCACTCCCTCCCGCAGCCACACGCGAGTCGGCCTTCGTGCATGCCATTGCTTCTGCTGGCGTGGCCTTCGCGGTCACACGTTCCTGCGCTGAGGGCACCTCCACCATCTGTGGCTGTGATTCACACCATAAGGGACCACCTGGTGAAGGCTGGAAGTGGGGCGGCTGCAGCGAGGATGCCGACTTCGGGGTGCTCGTGTCCCGGGAGTTCGCTGATGCCCGAGAGAATCGGCCGGATGCCCGCTCAGCCATGAACAAACACAACAACGAGGCAGGACGCACGGTGAGGCCTGGTGCCCTTGCCCTGGCGCCACCCTGGCCTGTGCTGCACTTAGAAGGCCGTGTGCATCCCTGCTCTCTTGGCCCAGCATGACTCCCAGTACCCCAGCGGTTGCTTGTCCCCTGGGAGTGTGTCTGCTGAGAGGTGGCTGCTCTGCAGCAGGGCCTTCCCCCTTCTTGTACGTAGTTGGGTCAGTTGTGCGGCTGTCAGACTGTGTGGACCTGGAGCCTCCACTGCTTTCTGTGGTCGTGCAACCTTAGGTGCAGCACTTAAGTCCCAGCCTCAGTGTCCACTATGTTAAATGGGGATAACAGCCCATTTCTTTAACTTTGAGAAGTGAATGTGAGGTCTGTCAGTGCATGGAGTGTCACCCAAGGAAACGGGATTTTAGAGCCATGCCTTAGTCTGCTCCATTCTCTTCTTGGCATGGAAAAGGGAGAGAGAAGGCTGGAGGGGTGAGGGGAGCGGGCCAAGCAGGCAGGGCTACCAGGAGGGCCCATCGGGGTCAGCTGCTGTTTCTCTTCCCCAGACCATCCTGGACCACATGCATCTCAAGTGCAAGTGCCACGGGCTGTCGGGGAGCTGTGAGGTGAAGACCTGCTGGTGGGCCCAGCCTGACTTCCGCGCCATTGGGGACTTCCTCAAAGACAAGTATGACAGTGCCTCGGAGATGGTGGTAGAGAAGCACCGTGAGTCCCGTGGCTGGGTAGAGACCCTGCGAGCCAAGTACGCGCTCTTCAAGCCACCCACCGAGAGGGACTTGGTGTACTATGAAAACTCCCCCAACTTCTGTGAGCCCAACCCGGAGACAGGCTCCTTTGGCACCAGGGACAGGACTTGCAATGTCACCTCCCATGGCATCGACGGCTGTGATTTGCTGTGCTGTGGCCGTGGCCACAACACGAGGACGGAGAAGCGGAAGGAGAAGTGCCACTGCATCTTCCACTGGTGCTGCTATGTCAGCTGCCAGGAGTGCATCCGCATCTATGACGTGCATACCTGCAAATAGGGCACCAGGTAGGGTGAGGGTGGGGAGCAGAGAGCTGGGCTGGCCTTTGCTCTTCTGGCATTTCCTGTTTCTTTGCTAAGCTGTACGAGACACCCAGTTCCCACAGCTAAGATGGGAAGTTAGGAGTTCCCAAGCTTCCCTGGGTATGGTTCTTGGGTAGCACCTTGGTGGGTGATACAGAGCACAGATAACAACCCAAGGGTACACGCAGAAGCCACAGCTCTTGGTTAAAATTAGCACATTATGAGCCAGAGCAGAGAGCCACTGGCTATCACAGAGCGTCTGTGTGGCCAGAAGAGCGCAGGGAGCTGGCCGACCTGCGGCATCACTATTCTTTTACTTTTTTGGACCTCTTTTCTTACTGCTGATTGAAGAGGTCAAAATACCTGACAGAGTGGGCTGAAAGGTCTCTTCTACCCTGGGGCAGAGTCATTTTGCATCTACTTTGAATTTAAAGGGTGAGTCTTTGCACAAGCATAAATCCTCCTAACTTAGGAGGTAGGTGGGGAAGTGCAGGCGCAGTCCGCGCCTGACAGATCTGAAGCTTAGGTAGAGGAGTTTATGGGTGGCAAGGGACTCGAGTTCAGAGTAGCTGTGGTGAGTAATCAAGGATCAAAGCCAGTGGATTAGGTTCTCAAGCTTCCCGGGTGGCCTGTGTGGGAGGCACTCTGCCCTGGCCCCGGGAAGGTCCACGTGGACCTGGGGTGGGCAAGGAGCCTCAGGTGTGCATGCTTCTAAGGCCCTTTCCTCCTCATCTTTTCCCTAAGAAGGGGCCTAATATAGAGAGAGGTGTTAGCATGGGCTTCTGATCCAGCTAATCTCTCCAGAGGGGCTGGGAGGGGACAGAACCACCTGCCTGCTTCGTCATGGCTGGTCAGGACAGGTCAGGGTACAGCACCCAGCTCTGTGCTGTATAGAGCTGGGAGGGGGTGCGAAGAATCTGACATCATGGGCTCTGGTCACGGAGTAACCCCTTTCCCAGCCCATCTAGAAGGCCCTTGGGAAGGCCAGCATGGGTCCCTGGCAGGACAGAGTCTATAGAGAGACAGGGTGAGACTTTTCCTAGTGTCAGGACAAACGTGAGCCCAGGGTCACCCCCCTTGGTGGCTCTGTTAATTGGGTCCCCAGTTTTCTGACCTCTACGGTGGTAGTGATGAGGGAGGTACAGTTGAAGTGAGGCTCAGGTTAGCAGATAGGAGTGCCTCTCTGAATGTAGCACCAATGGGAAGTGTGATCAGCGGCTCCCAGAGTGGCCACGATGCAGAGAAACAGCATCAGCCAGAATGACAGAGGAAAAGTCAGCAAGTAAGAAGACTCGAGCCCACTGTGGGATGCAGAGGCGGCGGAAGAATGCTGCAGCAGCCACCCTCCCCTGATGTTTGCCATGGCTGAAGGCAGCAGTGTGCTCACTGTCAAGCAACACAGAGCTGTAGCAGTTCCAAGAAGGGCTGGGGTATGGCTCTTGGGTAGCCTTGGTGGATGACACAGAGCACGGATAATGTTCACAGTGGAGTTTGAGAACAGCAGCTTGGGTGGGGCCACTTGTTCAGCTTGTCACTTCCCAGGAGGACGCTCTAGGGCGCACTGAGTTAGTGGCTGCGGTAGGGTCTGAAATGCTGTATCAGAACGCCCACTGTGGGGCTCTGTGGAGGTCGCAGCAGCAGCCCTTAATGATCAGTGGCTGTAGGAGCAAAGTGTGTCCCAGATACAGACTCCTGCAGCTCTAGGTTATTTATTTATTTTATTTTTTGAGATAAGGTTTCATTACATAGCCTAGGCTGGCCTTGAACTTGCATTGATCTTCCTCCTGAGGGCTGGGATTATAGAAGTGTGTCACTATGCCCACTACAGCTCTGCTGTTGCCCCCACTTGGGCAATTGAGATCTGCCAGGCAGGGAAGGGGGTGCTAAATTGGCCCTTGGTGTCCAGGAATCCCTTTCTCCAACTCTGGTACCTCTACTAATCCTGACCCTAAGTAGAATCAGGAATGTAGCTCAGTGGCCCACTGGTGGAGTGCCTGCTTGGCCAGCTTGAGGCCGTGGGTCAGTTCCCAGCCACACACGTGTGCATGCATGCAGAGGTCTCTTCTTCATCAGTCCACTTTTCTCCCCATTTCTGAAAACTGCTTTTCCAGTGTTACGTAAAGTGCTACATAAACACAATTTCAAGACACCATGTCTGTAGTGTACAACCCCAAGCGCATCCTACCTAGCAACTCTGGAGCCCACTCTGAGACAAGCAGAGGAACCTGTCCTGGTGCAGCACCATTTTCATGAGTCCTCTGTGTGTCCTATGAATCTGGACTGGCTCTTGCCCGAGTCCTGGCCTCATCTGTGAACCAAAGCTCAGAGCTGTGTCTTGCTGGGTGATCCTTCCCACAAAGGGCCTGGCCTGTGGTCCAGTGCTTGTGGCGAGACAGCTGAGATGTCCTGGCCAAGGGGAGCTGGCTGAGGGTGACTTCCCTAGTCACATGGTTTGGTCTGGAGCCATAGGCCAAAGATTGGCTGAGGCCCAGTAATTCCTTTCTGTCTCTTAATCCAGGTAGACACTTATTAGCATATGCGCCGCCAAAGTGAGCACATGTACACAGTCTCTTCATGGGAGCCCAAGAGCAGTTGGCAGCATTGGCAGAGGAGTGTCCCTTGCTTTCTGCCTAGTGATTGTGTTGAACTTGGTGGAACAGGTAGAGAAGGGAGCTAGAAAGCAACCCTTGTACCAACCACACTTGGTGCCACACCTGTGGAAGACCCGAGTCACAGTGGCTTTATCCAGGAAGGCAGAGCCCTGCCTAAGCACTTTCTGTATGGGCAAACCAAATTTCCTACTGCTTGTGGGTAGTTTTGTCCAGTGTCTTTAGTTAACCATTGACTTGGTACCTTAACACATGTCCCTCATAAATACCAGATTTATTCCTTGTAATAAACTATGGGCCAGGCCCTTTGTGGGAAGGATCACCCAGCAAGACACGGCTCTGAGCCTTAGTTCACAGATGAGGCCAGGACTCAGGCAAGAGCCAGTCCAGATTCACAAGACACATAGAAGATTCATGAAAATGGTGCTGCACTGGGACAGGGTTTTCTGTTTGTGTCAGGGTGGGCTCCAGAGTTGGGCTTGGGGCTGTGACCTGCTTGGACAAGTGATCATCAGTGGACCAGAAAAGCACTGCACGGGAGAGGTGGCCTGGCCGACCCAAGTGCTAGATCTGCTACTACCCTGCTGTAGGCCTTGGGCATATCTGTAATTTTGCTGTGCCTGTTTCGACTTCTGGAAGTCTTGTGTTGGCCCTTAAGTACCCAGAGGAGCTGGGGTTGGCTGGGAATGCCCATGAAGTGGCTTTATGCCTCAAATCCTTTACGACATGGAACTGTACAAAGGAATCAAATGCACATCCGATGCTCCCAAGGGCCCACTCATAATTAGACTTTCTCTGGTTTGGACAGCTATCGAGCTCCCTGGTGCCACGCAGAAACACAGGGCAGGTCTGGCCAGCCCACCACAGTCAGCAACTTGAGGGTGGGGATGGTGCTCAGATTGGCAGTTTTTCCCAGGATGTGGTCCACAGAGAAGGCCTTAATTTGAGTGGTTACCAGCCACTGGCTTGAGACCCTCAGCTAGTCCTCTGGGGGTGGACTAGCTGTACCACTGATCTACATGCACAGCTCTTATTTTGAGACAGTCCTGCTAAGATGTATAGACTGGTCTCAAACTTGTGAGCCTCTCAAGTAGCTGGGATTACAGGTGTGCACCACCCAGCCAGCCAGCCGAGCTATATCACTTGTAAGCACGAGAGAAGTGTAGAAGTCACCGATCAGGGGCCTTTAACCTTTCTGCTCAAAGGGGTGGTCTTCCTGGAAGAGGAAATGGGTTTCTGATTCTTGTTATTTTCCCAAAGGACACTGGGAAGGGGTAAAGTGTGCGGCTGGGCAGAGTCAACGAAGTCCCATGGGAAGCAGGACCTAGAGCCAAGCCAGCTGCCAGCGTCTGCCAGCAAGGAGCATAGACTGTTGCCAGCTGCACGTGGTAAATGACCTGGACCCAGCCGGCCTGCGGCAGGAGGCTCCTCCTTCTCTCCTCTTACGTTTCTCACCCTGCTCTTGTTGGTGTGTGGCTTTTATAGAGAGGCTTTCTTTTTAGTTCTCCAGGGTCTGGCAGCAACAGACCCAAGGCTTACCTTTGCACATATTAAATAAAAAAAAAAAAAAAAAATCTGCTCCAACAGAACAGGCTGGGCTAATATGAGCTCTGGGCCCGGTAAACACACGAGAATGGGCAAAATTCTGTTCCAAGCTGCTTCTCCTGGTGACGTTCCAGGATGCCTATGAGGCAGGAGTCAGGAAGTAGGACAAATCCCTGCAGTCTCCTTTTGTTAGTCTACTCCCATTCAAATCAGATACACTTTCTATTTTGATAAAAGCCATAGGTGTAGTGGGGATGAAGTGTTGGGGAGGTCCCCAGCCAGCATTCAAGATTTCAGTTTTGAAGAACGAGTTCTGGGTGGCTATTTAAAGAGCAACTGGGTTCTCCGTCTCATTTTCTCTGTAAACTTGTTCTGCAGAGAGGCAGTCAGATGTCCCAATCTCATCTCATCTACTCTTCTGCAGTAATTTTCCTGAAGTGGACGTTGTATATAGATAGGTCATGTATGGGGCAAGTGTGCAGCTCACATGGCTTTGTACGGAAACCAGCAGGGTCTTGGGAGGAGCATTCCACCTTCCCAGGCCTGCTCACTTGCAGATTCTCCACAGAAGGAGCCCCAGGAGAGCAGCTGGACTCTAGGTCGCCTTAGTATAAATTAGATGAAGCAGGAGCAGCGCTCTACACTGCAGTTCCAACTCTGTGACTAGTGGATGGAAGAGTGAAGCGACTGCTGTTTCACTCTCCAGCAAGAATGGGTCTTCCTTCTTTCTTTCCCCTTTGGTCTGTGCGAGTAAACAGAAATGCAGAGTTCAGTAACAAAGCTCTTCCCCCTCACCTGCATGTGGGATAGCATCAGTCTCTGCAGATACCAAGGATCTGGATTAGGTGTTCAAAGAGAGCAAGCAGTCACTTGTCTGGGGTAAGGCACTTCCCAGCTAAGCTCTCCTTGATGTGCACTGGTCCTGCTGCGTGTCCTGGAGGAAGCTCGCCAGACGGAAGCAGGTGCATGTAACAGTCTGGATCAAGCCAACAGCTCTGCCTTTCGGAGCACTGGGAAAAGGAGGTGCAGCAGGGAAACAGCAAACAGATCTCACTTTCCTTCCTTCTGTCTGAAATCTGCCTAACTGTGACCTAAGACACTGGGCCAGCAATCTCCGGGCTTTGCAGGCTGGCCTGCCAGGCGGTCATCCAGGAGCCTGCCCCCCTCGCCCCGCTGGCCAGAGTCCTGCTGAACACCCTGCCCTCCAGTCTGAAATGACCTTCCTATGTCCCCACAGACTGAACAGTTTTAACTCATGTCAACTGGATGATGCTTGCTTTATGTGAGAATACTTCAGCGGAAGGGATACAAATTTTTAAGTCTTTTCATATCTATGTATTCTATATTAAAAGTGATAAAGTCATGTTTCTGGGGCATATTCAAGTAGCTGACAAGTAATTATTTAATAATAGTACATGAGTGCATTGTAATTATTCTCGCCACCATAGTCAGATAATAGTATCCAATGGAAATTTCCTATCAACCTGCTGTATCCAAAGTTTTGTAAAAAGCTGTAGAAGTTGTTGATCTTTTTGATTTTATATTCAAAGTCTTTTTATAAATATTATTTATT